AAGTCCTGTCCTATGCAGAAGCTTGTCCACCTTCAGGCTGACTTGTGGGCCACAACCTATTTGCCAAGCCAGTCTCCTTCCTACACAACTGCTCCAGAGAAGGAAATTCCCTCCCAGGAGAGAGAACCCTTCCCTAATCCATTTACCAGAGGGAAGTGGGAAGCAGTTGTTTTATTTTGTTTTTTATTGTTGGCTCTGAATGGAATGATAGCCAAGCAGACCGCTCCAGGCAAATTTTACCAGCCCTATTATAGACGATCATCTAGAATGAGGAGACCCAGCCCAGGGAGAAGAGAAAGGACCTGATCCATGCAATCAAGAACAAAAAGGATCAGATCCAGAAGTGAGCTCTGTGGTAGAATTAACTCGTGGATGGTTTGTGGATGCGGTAGGGAAGAGGTGAAGATCATTCAGATTTATACTCCATTGTGATCCTAGGATAAAAACTTAGCACCATTAATGTTCAATTAGCATTTGTGAAATACAAAAAAGGGGGGGCAAGTAACAAAAATAGTTTCATGTCTGCTGGGTAGGAACCCACAGGAACACATAGAAAACAGTACCTCCAATCATCGCAAGCTTGCAAAATGTTAATTGAGTCACTGAGTTCCAAGAGCTCACTAGCATTTTTGTGCCTCCTGGGCAGTAGTATTCAGCCCTGGCTGTACATGCAGATCACCTGAGAAGCTTGTAAAATTCCTAGTGCCCATTCTGGGTCCATTAGCTCAGAAACTCCGAGACGAGACCAGGATCAACATGTTTTTAAAGGTCTCATAATGATCCCAACATGTAGCCAATTGCCCCCAAGGAACTTGGCAAGGAACTTTCCAGATCTCTAGACAGGATCATCAGCATAGCCTAGACCAGAGATGGGGCGGAAGGGTTTAACCTGTCTCACCATCTGATCTCAATCAAATCTTCCATTCTTTATGAAATCTTTTTACATTGAGACTAGTTCTTTGAAATTAATTCCTACTTCTTAGCAAGAGATGAAGAAATTTAAGCAATCCATTGTATGGCTTCACTAATTTTGGAGAAGCTGAACTCTGAGGAAAATATGCTTAAATTGGACTATTTCAAAAGAATAACTTAAATAATGAATTACACAAAGGCTTGGAAATTATTTTAAGACCTTTCATTTGCTGCTAAGGCTATGTGTGCCAGGCGTCAACAGGACCAAATGCTGTTGAAAAAAATAAGCAGGAAGTTTTAAAATAATTTAAGAATCAGAGTAAGGATACAGTAGCTCCCCTTTGCCCTCAGGGGATGCGTTCCAAGACCCCCAGGGTAAGCAAGAAACCACAGATAATACTGTGTCTTGGTTTTTCTTCTAGGCATACATACACACACACCTATGTTAAATTTAAAGTTTAATTTCTAAATTAGGCACAGTCGGATATGGACAGTGACAAATAATAAAACAATTTTAACACTACATGTATGTAACATAAGAGTTATGTGAATGTGGCATCTCTCTCTAAATATATTACACCATGCATATTAGTGGACAGGTAGAGCACATAGCGTGGATATGTCAGACAGAGTTCTGATTCTCATTCCAAGTGGGATGGTGTGAGACTTCCCCCATACTGCTTAGAATAGAACTCTTGTTGACTAGATACAATTAAAACTGTAAAATAAAACCTTATATCAGAAGAACTACTGTGCTAGTAAAGAATAGAAACGTTAGATTTTAAAAAATAAAAATAAAAAAAACAAGGGCCAGTGAGATAGCTCAGCAGACTAAGCACATGCCTGGGCAAGTGCAGGGACCTGGGTTTGATCCCAGGCACCACTTGCCAGTGCTGGCCCTGCCCTTGGGAGCGCTGAGCCAACCATCAAGACTGGGCGTGGTAGTGCGCACCTGTAATCCCAGTGCTGGGGAGGCTGAAAACAGGAGGATCACTATGAGTGTGAGCTGTGTAGTGAGACCCTGTACCAAATACATTAAAAAAAAAAGGAAAAGTGTAGACTGAGCCTGGAGCCTTCCCACTGGGCACCCACTGTGCCATTCCCTCCTGACCTCCTGAACCTCCCTTGCCCTCTCTATAATGGGCAGCCCCATCTCATTAGGTAGGAGTCTTCTCTAGCGACTGGACATGCCCTCATTCTGTACTCCTTAACTCAAGTGGAGCAGACTAGATATAATTTAAACCTTGACTTTCTTGCGGGAGAGCCAAGCAGAACATTGCTAACCAAGAGAGAGTCAAGGACCCCTCCTAGCCTTGGCTGTTTATTGCCAATCCACAACAGATCAGAATCTTACAATTGAGATTTAGAAACTTTTAGAGTAATGTAACAATCGCTGTTGAATCCCATAATAAAATACTGATGTCTGCACTTTGTATATGTTTGTATTTTCATTTCATGTTTCTAGAAATAAATGCTTATTGTATAAATCTGTAACAAATCAGAAATTTATAAAAATGAGTCTTTCCTTCACAGGTAGTTTGGAACGCAGGAAAAAGAAGGACTGCGGTTACATTTTAATATCACTGTAAATGTACACCTGGAAGGACAAGAGGGAATGCAGACAAGTTCATTTTTATCTTGTCCATTTTGAATTTTATTTTGAAAAGCTTATTTGACTTGATCTTAGCTTGCTGTCACTAGAAGTTACTTTCTGCTATGCACTTGTATGCATGGCTAGGAATTCTTCAGAAGAAAACAGCCTGTGGTAAAGAGTTAGTTTAGTGGTACTAGCTCATCTTCTAAGAAGAGCCACAGTATAACATGTCAGGTAACACAGAGAAGTGGTTAATTTCTCCTGGGAAAAGTAACTGCTTATCTTTTTATATATATTTTAGTACAATGTCTACAGGGTCTCACTACACAGATCGGACTCATAGTGATCCTCCTGTTTTCAGGTTCCCAAGTACTGGGATTACAGGTGTACACCACCATGCACAGTCTCAGTCCCTGTCTCAATGCACCCCAGGGGTGGGGCCAGCACAGCACAGCACAGCAGGGATCGAACCCCAGTTCCTGCACCTAAGCAGGTGCTTTAGTCCACTGAGCTGTCTGTCTGGCCCTAGCTGTCTTCTTAAGGAGAGAGTTAAGACACATGTTTCTCACTGAGAATAGCTAATCATAGGGTTTTGAACTTTTAATACAATGATGCCTTTGTTTGAATATAAGAAAGCCTGAGAGGAGAGTTCAGTTTTTTAAGAATGTGCAGTTAGCAAATAGAAAGTTGGGGTTCAAACCTCATGCTGTGTTCTTAGATTTGCCTGCACTCTTTGCTTTCCTGGACTCATTTGCTGTATAAAATGTTCCAGTGGGAACCAGAGACTGAATCTTATATAAGCTCCACTTTCAGAACTAAGACAACATACATTATAAACTAATAAGGAGTGCTTATGATTCCCCTCAATATATAAGTATCCCTGGTTCTGTTTTGAGATTTCCGCACATAGCCAAGATCAATATTTGTCCAAAGCTGATTTACACATTACACAGAAAAATCTAGGAAAGTCTGTGCTGTCGACACCAGCTGTTTGATGCAAAGGCTGGTTTGATCTCAGTTACTAATAAAGGTTTTCCAAAAACAAACCACTGTAGCCCTAAAAACAGAGGCCTGGGAGATGAATAGCCCTGAGAAATGCCAAGTTGTTCTACAGAGATCTTATCGTCACTGTGAGAGATCCAAAAGTTGTACTGATTGGCTTTTGCATCACTGTCTGATGAAATAAATAACGTTGCTAGTGCACAGAAACACTTGCAGGAAAATTTGAAACTGTCAATTACTTGACTCTCTTCATCTAGACCTATTAGGAAAACACCTTTAAAAAAAAAATTATGAACAGTACAAATGTTTAAGCCTGTATTGGTAGCATCGGTTAGTTTTAGATTGAGAATAAAGCATTCATTTAGCTTTATTGTTGCATGCTAACAGATTAAGAATATGTAATTCTGGTTTGGTTTGAGAGGGCGCCACATGCTAAAACATTTAACAAAACATGTTCTCTTCTTTGAACATGACTGTGACTTTTAAAAAGCAGAAAATGAATAATCACTCACTTCCTAGGGTCGCTGATTTCAAAGTTATTATTTGATAAAGGAACCAAGCTACAGTATTGAGGCCCGCTGGATAAGTGCAGTAGGTGTGTCCACTTTAACCCAGGAATAACTGAGATTGGAAGAAACCACTCACCTTATTTTAAGATAAATTGTAACTGTGGAGATCCAATCTGAGATTGCAACGCCGTTAGTTCTAGGTCTTCAGGGCAGAGCCACAAGGCGTTTCGTAAAGTGAATCTGCAGCTAACTCTTATGAAGACTGAGTCTGTCCTGATTAGAACATGACAGCTGTGAGCCTCGGCCTGTGAGATGTGGGCGCGGACACCAGTGAGGGTGTGGCGCGTATGAGAGACAGTGAAGACACAGGGAGATAAAATCTAATTACACAGAGCTTCGCTTAAAACAGAAACGGAGTGAGTTTTGCCCAAAGTGGCTTGGTGTTTCCTATGCCAGGAACTACTGTGCAAGCCCAGCAGGAAGTGTGCTATGGAGCAGGATCACCTTACACCCTTGTTTTATGGTTCATTTCACTTATTTAATGCAATCTGAGAACCTGCAAAAGGAGCATGTTCGAAGGAGGGAATAGGCTTTTTGTCTTGTTTTAAGTTTCTTTGAATCAAAACATTTGTTTTTACAAGGTGCTTAAAATCCCAGAGCAACAGGACTTCTAGAGTTGCCTGGTGAAGACATTTCTCTGTCACAAAATTTAAAGCGAGACACCAAGTTATGTCTAGAGTTCAGTTATATCTGTTTCCTTTGCTGTCCTTTTCACGTGGTTTTAAACATGAAGACTTATAACTGCACCCATGAATGGTCTAAAGCATTGTGAATTTCATACAAGCTCCTCCTAGGGTCTCTAATTTGATAGACTGCCCGCAATTTGGCCAGAAGGAGGTTGGCTATATTTAAAATGGAAAATTACAATTTATTTGCAAGCTGAGGAATGAGTTCATTTTATGGTATTGCTTGGAAATGTGTGAATGGAACAGCTGGATTTCCTTGTGGTGGCATGTGGCCCTCCTCACACACTGTCTGTCTTCCTCTCCAGAGACCTCAGTATGAACAACATCAGTCAGCTGCCCTCGAGTCCCTTGCACAACCTCCGCTTCCTAGAGGAATTGTAAGTATCGCTGTCGTCATGATGTGTCTACTCAACGCTGGGTATTTTCTTGTGTTCGCCTCTCATGCTTGCTGTGGGAAGCAGATAAAACAAGGCAGAAAAGCTGTCAGCACCAACCACTTTGGCGCATGAGGAAACACTTAGTTGGAGGGGGTAGGGGTCGCTTATGATTCTGGAAATCAACTTATAAAAGCATTTACCATGAGGCTACAACTTTCTAAGGTGAGATTGAGCCAAACAAATTAAATTTTTAAAACAAAGCCTGTTTAAAAGAGCTGGATAGCTCTTTGGAAATAGTTAAGCAGCAGGATATTAAAAGTTTGAATACTGGTTCATGTTTATTAAAATAGCAAGTAAAGCTATAATCAAAACCAAAAACTGCTGCTTGGTTCAGCTTATAACTGGGGGAATTGAGTCCACATTGCATAGCCCTGAAACTTCTCCTAATCACTTTTAATTACTATTTCCCTACTTTTAAATTGAACTTTCCTCAAAGCTCCCACACAAGAAATCCACAGTAGACTTAAGATTGTGCTCTGTTAAACTTACTATAAAAAAATTAAGGACTTAAAAAAAAGAGAGAGAAAGAAGCTAAAATTAGTTAATGATATGCAGAAGAACCTTGATTAAGTATAGTAATCACTTCACAGAAGATGAAAAGGAACTGTATAAACCAAAAAATTTGCATTTAAAGTTCATTTGATCCTCTTACCCTGTAGAGTGATGGCAGCGATACACACTCACAGCCCTCTTGGAGTGCTTTCGGCACCAGCAGTTAAGTCAATCCTCTGATTGTTGATTAAAGGAAATGTTCAGGCAGTGACCTCTTTTAAAAATACTTCCTTTATAAGCCCTAAAGTCAAGGCCCAATCTGGGCAGTGATTTAAATTGTCCGTCCACCCCACAATCCACCATGGGAGGTGGATTTTCCAGTGCCACCAAATTGCACCATCTTGATCGTTTCTCCAAGAGGGTAAATATTCTCAAATTGCTCCATGCTTAGAATTTTACTTGCACTTCTCTTTGCTATGTTTTTAAAGAAATATTGTGGTTTCTAATATTGAAATCAGTAGAAAATGACCATTTTGTTATCAAGGAGTACGCAGGGAAACTTACATAACTCAATTGTCCAGCAAGCTTTTATTATTTAAGGAAGGGACGCTCACTCCCGACTCCAAGCCTCTCTCCTGCTTGTTCTCAGGTCATTTCCATTGGTAGGATTTGACCTTCATGGAGACTGGGACCTTGTCTGTCTTAGCCACAGCTGCTATGTAATAAGTAACCAATACAATTTTGATGAACGAAACCATGAAAAGTAAAACATATAAAAGGAGCTTCTCATACATATTACATGTGTGTGAGCACACACGTGTGTAACTAGTATCCTATATGCAGGGATCCTATACCGCTGAGCTACACCTAGCCTTTTTCAATTTTTTTTTCTTTCTTTCTGTCTTTTTTTTTTTTTTTTTTTTTTTTTTGGTTGTTGTTGTTGTTGTTATTGTTTTGCAGAACCAGGGATTGAACTTGGGCTCTTGCACTTGTCAGGCAACCACTTATTCTACTGAGCAATCTCCCCAGCCCTGTTTTTTTTTTTCTATTTTGAAGCAGGATCTCACTAAGTTGTCCTTGAACTTGCAGCCTTCCTGCCTGTGATTACAGGCTTGAGCCATCACATCTGGCTTATTAGTTAATATTTTTGACAATTCTTTTAACCAAATTTGGAACATGAGTTCTTTTTCCTAATTACATCCCTCTTATTCTTCTTTCCCTGTGACAATTAATATACAGTAGTCCTTTTTAACCCTATGTTTCTGAGCTACACATTTTTCTAATGTATACTTTTCTCTTTAATTTCCTTCTAATACCCCCTAGCAAAATGCTTTCCATCTCTCCCAACACATACCTTAACTCCAGGCCACAGACTGAACCAATAAACAATTCACTTCCCCAAGGATTTTACTTAATAGAGTTCTTCCCTGTGTGTCCCAACTCATTCAAACTAAGTCCTCTTTCCTCATGAGGTGAAAGCTCATTCTGTTCCACAGCCAGTTTTTCCAAAGACAATTGAGAGAAAAATCACACACACACACACACACACACACACACACACACACACACAGGCTAAGAGGAGAAGAGGGGAGCTACTGTTTGAAAATATTGTTTTCCTGCATCATCTTATTTTTGCCTCTCTGGAAACTCCATCAACTATCTTAACCATAGCAACACAGAATTATGGAAATAAAGAGATACTTTAAAGCCTAATTATCCATTCCTTCCTATTCTAGAGTTCTTTTTGCTGGGTTGGCTGACTTAATAAATTTAAAGTCAAGACTGTTTTCTCATAGAATGCTGTGTTGTGTTCAAACAATGCTTCGAAGACATCATTATTCACTGAGTGGCAAGGGGGAGTAGTATTTATAGAATCTGGAAAAATGATCATCTCTGCTTGGCTATTTCCTTTGTCCCCCAGGATAACTTTGGAGCACTATGTTATTGTTATTGTCTATAAAAAAAAGTGCCGGCTTAATCAGAGCATTTTGATTATGTCTTCATTACACTGTTAATTGTTTCTATTAGATTTAGCAATATTTAAGGCTATATTTTCTTTTGGGAACATAAAATCTTCAAAAAATAACATAATTGTAATAACACTAATGACTTACTCTCTACTAATTCCTGTTCAAAGTGCTTTACGTCTACATCATCCCCATGAATGTTCTCCTGACAGCTCATAAAAGAGGATATTATTTATCCTTCTCCATGAACAGATAAGAAAACTGTAGTACAGAGAAAATAGAGAACTTACCCAAGATAATGAATGGCAAGTGTCAGAGCTGAGACTCAAGCCCAGGTCAAGGCTGAGAGCCAGATGACTGTTTAAGCGGAGCTGGACAGTACAGGGAGAGGAAGGAATTGTGCAGGGTCTTTCCCCTTGTAGCATGGAGTACAGTGGTTTGCACTCAAGTACACTTAAGTCCTGTAAGGATAAGTGTGTGTGTGTGTGTGTGTGTGTGTCTGTCTGTCTGTCTGTCTGTCTGTCTGTCTGTCCCTGTCTGTATCTGTGTGGGAGGATGAAAAAGAATTTTTTAAAAAGATAAGAAATAGGGGCTGGGGAGATGGCTCAGTGGAATAAGTGCTTCCCTGGCAAGCGCAAGGACCTGAGTTCAATCCCCGGTTCCACAAAAAAAAAAAAAACAAAGATAAGAAATGGACTGTCTACCCAGGATGGAAAAATCAGATGTTTATCTTATTAATCTACTACCATGAGCTGTGGATAAAGTATTAGCAGAATTTTCACGTATGGAATGTCACGAACCTGGAATTGCTCAGCAGCCCAAAAATTTTAGGCAAAATTTCTACCTACATAATATATACATAAACATCTTGGCTTATATAGTATTATACTTGGACTGACAAGTGAGCATCCATACAGCTAGCTATTTAGATATCTGCCTGTGTGTGTGTGTGTGTGTGTGTACATGTGTGTGTGTGTGTGTGTTTATCTTTCATGGCAATTAGGCTACTGTTTGAAAGTGTTAAGTCTTCTGGGCTGTGAAGGTAGCTCAGCGGTCTAAGCATCTACCTAGGCAAGCACAAGGACCTGGGTTCCATCCCCAGTGCCATGCCAGCCCTGGAAACCCCAGGTGGGCTGTGGCAGCCACTGAAACCAGGTGTAGTGGCACACACCTGTAATCTCAGCACTGGGGAGGCTGAGACAGGAGGATCGCTATGAGTCCAAGCTGTGTAGCGAGACCCTACACCAAATAAATAAGTAAAATATATCTTTAAAAAAATGTTGTCTTCCATTTACCTTATTCAGCTCATTTTGTGTCTTATCGCTTTACACATTAAATAGCAACGTGCTACTGATACTATGAACTATAGTAATAAAACCACATCTCCAAACTCAGTCTTTAAAAAAAAAACTATTAATAAAGCTAAGTTCCCACTCTTCCCCTTTGCTGTAATTACCTGGTGTATCAGTGCTATTTCCTTAGTTTATTTCATTTAACTGTGCTATAAACTGTGTAGACAGCTGTGGTTCACCCCCATCCATCGCTAAAGCTTAACAAAGGTGCCGTAGTTCAAAAACTGGTAAAAAAAAAAAAAAAAAAAAAAAAAAAAAAAATCCATAAAGCCCTGGAGATATTCAAGGAGTTAATGTTTAAAAAATATAACTGGATAAAGTGACTATCTGCGGCAAATATTTAAGAAAGATAAAAGCCATCAGAGCAAATGGGGTCCTCCCCTCTTTAACATTCTGGAGTATTTAGTCCCTGTGCTACAAGTTTCAACACACTCCGGTCTTGTTTGTTATTGGTTATTTATTTCTTTTTATGACTCTGCAAGGTGACCAGGTGTGCAGAAGCCAGTTGTCCTGCTGGTGGTAATATTCTAAGAGAGCAAAGCCTCTTTTTTTTTTTTTTTTTTTTTTTTTTTGTAGAGAACAAGTTTATATGCAGAGCGGTTACATTATGTAGAGAGAAGGAAAACAGCATTTCAATCAAAGAGCTCAGGACTTCCTGTGTGATGCTACCACTTGCGAGTGGCACCTACCCCGCTGGGCCCAGGAGGACAATAGGGAGAAGCAAAGCCTCTCTTCTAGGATATTCCAAGGATCAAATGAAATTATATTGAAAAGAAAGTTAGGAAGGTATCATTTACACATCAAGTTGTATTAGTAAGGTGAAAACATCTTCAAGAAGATCCCAGTCATTTCCTTTCCTAGTTTGGAGCCCAGTTTTGGAGGATTTCTAGGGATGTGACCCTTGTGAAGGAACAGCTATTTCAGCTCTGAGCCTTAGTGTGCAGAGACAATGATTACAGGTAGTGCTTTGCCAGTTTTTTTTTAATGTGTTTGTTACAGGATCTCACTACACAGCTTGGACTCATAGTGATCCTCCTGTCTCAGCCTCCCCAGCACTGGGATTACAGGCCTACGCCACCATGCCGGGTCTCGGTGGCCAGCTCAGTGTGCCCAGGGGCAGAACCTGCAC